AATGACTATTAACATTAATAGCACTTCCACCTGGCATGCGCGTTATAATCATTGTATGTACATTAATTCAATACTCAAAGTAATCCCAAGGTAGGCACTATTATTATCCCCACTTTCCATGTGAAGAAACTGGTTGGAGAGGTTAATTCAAAGGCCACACAACTATAATAGTAAGTGGTAGATCTGCACCTGGAACCCAGGCAACCTAACTCTAGATTTGTGCTCGGAACCATTATGCTAAATTGAACATGTAGGTTTCTATATAGAGAGAGAAGTCCCCAAATTGACAGAAATGTGCTTTGAATTATTTTTCTAGCAGTTGATCTATCCCACTTGTGAACAAAATGTGGAGAAATGAAATGGCTCTGAAAAAGCAGATATTTTCTTTCAGCAAAGCTAGCTGGCATAAAACCTCAGCCACATTAAAATAATCTGAATTAATATGCTCAAGCAGTGAGAGTTAATAGCTATTAAAAAATTTAAACCTAAGATTCCTAATGCTACTAGAAATCTAAGCTGAGACAACTTAAAACTCAAATGAGATGCATGAAAGCACTTGTCATCCTGACACCATATTGAGAAACAAGATCAGGTGAGCAAATAGCTTTTCTATTTTGTCTATTTTAAGAATATCTACTTTTATAAGGAAAAAAGTAAAATGAGAAACATTTTTAGATTTCCAAATTTTAAATACAGGCTTATCCATTTAGATTACTTCTCAGTATAATTATTTTGTATATTGGCAAAAGAAAAAGACCTCATGGTTGTTTGTTACTCTTAATCCTATATTCTTCTTTCCTAATCTCCATTGAAATTGGACACTCCTTTATGAACCAAACAGTACTTTTTTTGAAGCTATATATGGATAAACATATATAGCTTTTATCTGTATCCTTTCTGAAGTCTATTGCCATATGCAGATGAGTAGACAAAAACAAAGTATTTAATAATGAAAAGGAAATGTATAATTCTACTAACTCAGTATTTTCAAATGAATCATACCTGGTTATTTAAAAGTAAAAATAAAATTTTAATACAAAATAACACAGGGACAATACATATGCCTTTTCCCAGATATAGTATGCAAATCATATTTGAAATAGTTCTTCTATATTTTTATACAGTGTAGCATACATACTTGGAAACCCTGAATAGGCATCTTTTAAAAATATATTTTTTTCTTTCTCCTTTTGATATACTACTGTCAGAGCATAATATTTATTTTGGTTTCTCTTTGGACCTCAGCAAAACTTCACTACAGTCTGTAGCACAAAATATCTAAAATATTTTGAGAATAATGTGTTTATTATTTGTGACACTGTTAACATAAAGCATAAAAATAAAGCATAAGGAAGCAGTTTTAGTGGCGAAGAAATTGAAGTTAAACACTCAGTGTTCTAGTTGACAGATACATACTCAGATTTAGACCTGTGCAATTTAAAAATGGTCAAAGTATTAAGCCATTGATAATGAGGTAAGTTTTCTGTGTAACAAAGACTATATCACCATTACAATGCTTTGATAAGATGCTGATGTTCAAAAAAGCATGTTTATGAATTCTAGGTACTATATCTCCATAGCTAGCATATTTTAAACAGAAATAATTCATTTACTTCAGAAGTATCTATTATCTTTAGTCCATACAAAAGATCAATTTCTCATGAAAATGACAAAAATTAAGGTGGAGAGTTTTTGGGGAGGTAGGGGAAGGGAAAGAAAGAACCAAATTATGTCTGTCTACAAAGACTGTTTTGCTTTTCTAATAACACATTGTGTAACTTTTCTGCAAATAAAATGTCAGTAGTAGCAAAAAGTGAATTTATACTATAAAATGATTTTAAATAGCTTAGATGTAAGAGCTATAAGAAATAGAAAATGATCTTTAATTAAAAGGGTGTTAGTCACCAAGACTGCAAACATCTTTCAGAGTGAAAACTGTAAATCATATCTCTTGGGAATTATCTGCAGAATAGCTCAAATCACAAGGGTAAAGGAGAATTTATCATTATAAATGATCAGTTTAACTTCCTTTTGTTTAGAGAAGTGTTTGGTTGCCAGACCTAATCCCTTATATTTTGCTATTCATATTGAACTGCTGAAGCAAACACCAGGAAGCCAGGCTGGGGTTTTAGGGGAGGGTACAGCATTCAAAAAACAAACTGTAACACATGTGTAAAACAAATGTTCCTTCTCAGTTGTATTTTATACTAAATGTGTATTTTGTGCATTCAACAGGACTGGCACTCAGGAAATTTGAGTGCCACATTTTATTTTTATTCTTTTTTTTTTTTTTTTTTTTTTGAGACGGAGTTTCACTCTTGTTACCCAGGCTGGAGTGCAATGGCGCGATCTCGGCTCACCGCAACCTCCGCCTCCTGGGTTCAGGCAATTCTCCTGCCTCAACCTCCTCAGTAGCTGGGATTACAGGCACGTGCCACCATGCCCAGCTAATGTTTTTTTTGTATTTTTAGTAGAGACGGGGTTTCACCATGTTGACCAGGATGGTCTCGATCTCCTGACCTCGTGATCCACCCGCCTCGGCCTCCCAAAGTGCTGGGATTACAGGCTTGAGCCACCGCGCCCGGCTCACATTTTTATTCTTGAACCAAATTAGTTCAAAGAGTTCTTGAGCCCAGGAGTTCAAGGCTGTAGTGTGCCATAATGCCTGTGAATAGCCACTATACTCCAGTCTGGACAACACAGTAAGATCTTGTATTTAATTAAAAAAAAAAAAAAAAAAAACCCAAAAAAACAAAACCACATCTATCCATGTATATGTAATGAACTTTCAGGCAGAAGTTACAAGCAAACCCGATGTTATAGTTTTACTTAGCTCATATAATATGGTAGTGTGGCTTCAAGTAACTTATTAACATAAGAGTTAATGTTTAATAAGACCCTCAAACAACAACTGAAAACTTCCAGGGATATATTCTATATTTATTCATATTTTTTAAAGATGGGATTTTTTATTAAGATAATTAGTAATTATGTCTTTCAATTCAATCTTCATAGTACCATATAGAAAAAAGAGAAAAAAACCAACAATTACATATGTAATACATTACAGAACTTACATAGCATGTACACATTTAAATATATATGGATGAGGGGTAACTTACAGATGCCACACACTTACTAGGCATTCAAAAATATTTTCACATTCAAAAAGAAATCAATTTCAATCAATAAAATCAACATTACTGTAGATTAAATTAAATCTTACCAGTTGCAGTGTCTGGTATATTAAGTTTGCTTAAGTGGTCTTTCTGTGCTTTTGCTAGCATGCATATTCTATGAAATTCTTCTTTCAGATCCCAGAAAGTCTTCTCTATATTACCCCTAAAAAAAAAATCAACATTTTAAAATGTAAGGCTATAACTTCCAAGTTTTTAAATAATTAAACTTATGTACTACCATTTTATGTGCCATAAAATAATTATTTAAAAGTTAAAAAAATTATTTTAAATTCTTAGACAATGTCCCCAAAACCAGCTTGTGTTTGTAGAAAGCCAGGCACAAATTAAGTGATAAATTAAAAGTTCTAGTACATACATGTAGTATAGTCTAGCGTATCTACTTATTCATATATATGCGAATGCTGGATGTCTTATTCTACATTAGAAATTTCAATGCACTGACTTTTGTTCTCTACAAATAAATAGAATATTAAATATTCCTCATTTTGGTAAAGTTCACATTAGGATTCATACATATAAAGAAATATGGCCTTAATATTTGCCTATTTAAATAGTAGAGCTTTAGAGAATCCAAGTTTTAGATCAGCTCTGCTATTAACTGTATGACTTATTTAGGTCATTTTTAACATGAAGGGCTCTGGGGTTGGTCACTTCCACTCATTCTAAAAGGCTGCTATTTTCTTGTAATTGTTAAAGCTTAAAAATATATAAATATAAAACATATTTCAGTATTGATAATTTTTAAGAGTTGGCGAAGAAGGATGTAGAATTACCTTTCATGGAGCAAAGGACTACCAAGACTCCTTGCTGAAGTTTCTTTTCTAGGAGAAGAAACCTCTTGTCTTCTTACCTTAAAGATACAAAATGATTACTATTACTACTTTAAATTGCTTCCAAATTCAAATGAGATCGAGTAAAGAGAAAACACAAAGGAAAATTTATTTACCTTCCCTACTGAAAAATAACTTGAGGCAGCTTATAGATCTATATGTAATATACAATTGATTTTTTTCTTTAAATAAGAAAAATCAAGGAAAAAGGAAAACGAAGCAGGAAAGTGTGAAGAGATGAAATATTTCTGGTAACTTCGATTACTACTTCCAGTACTGGTAATTCAAGAAATTTCTCAAATTCAACTATGATCAAAATTGCTGCCCTGTTCACCATGCACCTCATATGCCCAGAAACTTAGGAAAGAAAAAAAATAAATCTATATGTTTCTTTTCATATTCAATAAAAATGGCCTATATATTTAAATCAATGTGTTTGTCTTTTGTTATAGATTCTTTGCTGAAGAATGCAGCTGCTTAGAGGAAGAAAGAAAACCAAGCTATAGCTCCTTATAATTCAACAAGCATTTAAAAGGTTTATAAAGACGGTGCAATTATGTATTTAAGCTGCTTCAACACAAGTTCTTGCCTTTCACTCCCACCCTGTGGCTCACACCGGTATTACATTTATTCTTTTTTTTTTTTTTTGAGACGGAGTTTCACTCTTGTTACCCAGGCTGGAGTGCAATGGCCGCGATCTCGGCTCACCGCAACCTCCGCCTCCTGGGTTCAGGCAATTCTCCTGCCTCAGCCTCCTGAGTAGCTGGGATTACAGGCACGCGCCACCATGCCCAGCTAATTTTTTGTATTTTTAGTAGAGACGGGGTTTCACCGTGTTGACCAGGATGGTCTCGATCTCTTGACCTCGTGATCCACCCGCCTCGGCCTCCCAAAGTGCTGGGATTACAGGCTTGAGCCACCGCGCCCGGCCTATTACATTTATTCTGACTTAAAAATCAGCATTAAAGAACATGTTGTAATAACGTATTCTATGATTTGGATATTTAAACATTTTTACATCATACCTAGAAAGTGTTGTATACTTTCTAAAGCTTATAAACTGACAAATCCAGATATCTGAAGAATCCTAATATAGAATCCTAAGTTATAATTCATCCAAAATTGTGTAGTTCTTAAATTTCAAATCTAAATCCGTGGATATCTATCTTTAGTGACATTTAGATTTTATTCATTAAAGTCATTGTAGCTATTGTAAATTTTACTTCATTATGTCTTATCACTTGTCTCTCTTGCTTTTCAAAAGATTTCTTCCAATTTATTCAGTCTTATTTGTTCCCGAAGACAAAAGACTTGATTTTAGTTTGTTTTTCTTAAAATTAGTATCTTCTCCAATTTATTTCCCAGTTTTTTCTAAATAAATACTTTAAAAATATATAGAAAGGATTATTTTTATAGTATCTCAGAATTAGTAAAATAAAATCTTGCCAATCCAAACAATTTGTGATTTTAGACATTATATTGTCAGATTGAAGTAAAATAAAGATGATTTTGTTGCTACATATCATGAGTCTAACAAATATTCAGGTCATACATTCCTCTGGATCAAAACTGCTTTATTGAGCTTTATAAAGCAGTCACATCAGAGATATTTTCACATTCACAGTTTGTTTTTAAAAGTGATAGACAGCCGGGCGTGGTGGCTCACGCCTGTAATCCCAGCACTTTGGGAGGCCAAGGTGGGTGGATCACAAGGTCAGGAGTTCGAGACCAGCCTGGCCAAAATGTTGAAACCCCGTATCTACTAAAAATACAAAAATTAGCTGGACGCGGTGGCACGTGCCTGTAATCCTAGCTACTCAGGAGGCTGAGGCAGGAGAATCGTTTGAACCTAGGAGGCAGAGGTTGCAGTAAGCCGAGATCACGCCATTGCACTCCAACCTGGGTGACAGAGTGAGACTCTGTCTTAAAAAAAAAAAAAAAAGGTGATAGACAAGGTTTTTCTATGGTGTTTTGTGCAATTAGAACACTCAATGGATTTTAGTGTGGACTAGGAAGGCTACATTTTACAGCTAGCCAGCCAGTCAGAACGCTACAAATATGAAAACAAACTTGAAAAGATTTTATCATTGAGTCTGTATCATAAAATCAGAGAAGAGGCATATTAAAAGAATACTTATATTTGACAATTTAATATGTCAAACAAATCATAACAAAATAAGTGATTATATTAAATGGAATGACCTACTTATAGTGGGCCAAGATTGTACCAGTGTACTCTAGCCTGGGTGACAGAGCAAGACTCTGTCTCAAAAAAAAAAAAAGAGTAATGCTTTGTAGTTTTAGCCTAAAATAAGATAGTTACAGAAAGTGGTAAAGATAATGTTCCAAATTCCAAAGTCCTGACTTTGACATAAACTAGGAATGATTGTTTCTGAGATTAAAGAAATATTAAACACTAATGGGATGGGGAGGGCTGAAGGAAAAACAGGAAAAAAAATGACAAACCTTTGTCTCATTTGGGTAAATAATTGATGCTAACTTACTTCTGTCATGTTTAGATTTGATAGCTAGTGTGAGTGAATTTATCAAGAAAAGATTCCTTGGGTGTATTGGCAGGAGGTAAAGGAGGACTCCATAAGGAATTCCTATGAAGTATCTAAACTAAGGTCTTCAACTTCTTTGGGGTTAGAAACACAGCTCTGTTTACTATTATTTTTGTTTTTATTGTTATTGAAAAGAGTATTAGTGGTTGTACTATGCAATACACTGCAACTTCTATCGTTCATGCCAAATAAAGATGTTAATATATTTCAAACGAAAATTCTGAGTTCCCAGTACCTAAGAAAAATTTTCAGAAAGGAACCTCTTAACATGTTATTTTGGGAAAAAAACAAAGGTAAACAGTTTTCTGAAGTTGGGTTTAGTTAGAATGGGGCATTACATGTTAATGCTATTTTCCATTATAGCAGTCTGATACAATTTTCTGAAGACAATCATTACTTTTTTAAAGGATTTAGGATTAATGTAGTAAATGGCAACTTCAACACTTTTCCAGAAACTCAGACTTTCTTTTCAGTGCATTCTTAACTATTAAAGATTAATCAGTTTGTTGAGCATCTCAGGGAATAAGGATAACTTGTATTTTTCTTTCTATTCTCAAATATAACCCAACTGGGCCCTGTACTGCAGGAAGATGAAGTTGTAACTTCAAATAAGAAAGCAAGGGAATTTTGAACATTACATTTTAGGAGATTTTAAGCATTAAATCATTCAAAAAATGAATTTATTTTGAGATACTAAAACTTAAAATACTTAACATCATAAACTGTTCCAAGTACTAGTTTGGAAATGCTGAACTTGTGGAATGAATGCTGAAATAAGAGTTTTACACATCATACTTTTCATATACACTTCCAGTATGTCGCTGGGTAAGTCATTCAACTAAATCCATTAATATAAACACATCTGAAACAGTTGGAAGATGTAAAATGTTTCCTTAAATTTCTTATGTGAATTGGGAGAATTTTGATTTAGTGTAAGTCAATTTAAGTTTCTCATAGATGGGTATTATATCAAAAATACATGTTAAAGGGACAGTTGAATATGCAATGATATTTAAGAAGGAGAAAAAAAAGTGGTTAATATTTAATTAGCCCAAACCAGGCTTTATTCTTGATGCAAAAATAATGCAAAATGTTTTTGTTTCATTTCGTATTCTAGAATATGGTAGATATCAACCTCTCAAAGAAAGAAATGTACATTTTCCTTAACACCTGCTTTTGTTATAGTTAATACTAAAAGTGAAACTATTTTATTCCTTTTATAAAAAATTGAAAGATATAGAAAAGAAATAAAAATTGTAATTCAAAACCATATTTTTTCTTTTTTTTTTTTTTTTTGAGACGGAGTTTCGCTCTTGTTACCCAGGCTGGAGTGCAATGGCGCGATCTCAGCTCACTGCAACCTCCGCCTCCTGGGTTCAGGCAATTCTCCTGCCTCAGCCTCCTGAGTAGCTAGGATTACAGGCATGCGCCACCATGCCCAGCTGAATTTTTGTATTTGTAGTAGAGACGGGGTTTCACCATGTTGACCAGGATGGTCTTGATCTCTTGACCTCGTGATCCACCCGCCTCGGCCTCCCAAAAAGTGCTGGGATTACAGGCTTGAGCCACCGCGCCCGGCCAAAACCATATTTTTTCTTAAAAATTTTAAGCAAAGTCAGTAAAATCGAGTTATGAATTTTTTTTTTTTTTTTTTTTTTGAGACAGAGTCTCACTCTGTCGCCAGGGGCCAGGTTGGAGTGCAGTGGTGCGATTTCCGCTCACTGCAACCTCTGCCTGCTGGGTTCAAGCAATTCTCCTGCCTCAGCCTCCCTAGTAGCTGGGACTACAGGCCTGCACCACCACGCCCAGCTAATTTTTGTATTTTAGTGGAGACGGGGTTTCACTGTGTTGGCCAGGATGGTCTCGATCTCTTGACCTCGTGATCCACCCGCCTCGGCCTCCTGAAGTACTGGGATTACAGGCTTTAGCCACCGCGCCCAGCCTTTTTTTCTTTTTTTGAGATGGAGTCTTGCTCTTGCTGGAGTACAGTGGTGCAATCTTGGCTCACTGCCACCTCCACTTCCTGGGTTCAAGTGATTCTCCTGCCTCAGCCTCCCAAGTAGCTGAGATTGCAGGTGCCCACCACCAAACCCAGCTAATTTTTGTATTTTTAGTAGAGATGGGGTTTTGCTATGTTGGCCAGGCTGGCTTTGAATTTCTCAACTCAGGTGATCTGCCCGCCACAGCATCCGAAAGTGCTGGGATTATAGGTGTGAGCCACTGTGCCCGGCTGAGTTATGGAATTGTTAAATTTAATTCTCACTAAATTCATTAATAAGATGTATATTCTCTCATATGTATGTAAGAAACCTAAACTTTAAAAGGCTGCTATTAAGTAAAGAAGGTAAATATTCAATGATACATATTTCACTTTACTCCAGTGTTCATATCAAAGAATCTCTTTAAACTTTAGTTAGGATCGTTGCATGCAAAGGAATATTTATTTTTAGCTAGCTCAGGCAAATGAGTATAGTCAATGTTTTATTTCGTTTCTGGATGAGGCTAAATAGAATTATGCTTTTAAAACAGAAACGAGAATTCTTACTTGGATCAATGTAAACCAAGAAATAAGCCAAGGCGGGATGGGATGGATTAGTAGAGGGAATATAAACTATAGAATAGGTATACATGTTAGCTTGATAAAATTGACTACAGAAAAAAGAAAAGTAGGAAAAAAATGGAAAATAAAGATTCATTAGTCACTTAGATTTTTGAGATATAAGAATGAAATGTTCAAGGAGAAACTGAGGTTGAATATTTCCGTACTAGTCTACATATACTGAGACAAAAGATGTTATGGTGAAGTCAAGCACTGGATACAGCTGAATTAGGGAGAAGGTGAAAAAAGGGCTGAGACAGAAAAAGATAAATAGGAGAAGAAAAAAATTACAAAAAAATACTTGATAAGAATGAACATAAAAGCATAGTAAAATAAAATTTGAGGACAAAAGGTAAAAAAATTTATAAGAAATTGTATTTAATCTAAAAGAACTTATAGCCATACAAAATCTGATTCTCTCACCCTCATTAACATTCCTGAAATTCTAGCAAAGCAAGAGAAACACAAATCCTAGGAGCCTTGTCTGTTCTGTGTGATACAGTGTGCTAGGCAAACCCACTGCCAGTGCGGGAACAACTCCAGGGCAAAATGGGATCCATCCCAGAGTTCTGAAGGAAGTGGCAAGAAAATAAACAATATAAAAATAAAATTAAACACCCTAATTACTTCCAAGTTCTTTATCGGGTTCTGGTTTAACATAACACATCCCCACAATCTCTACTGATTCAATGCTACAATAAAACATATTGTTTTAGAAAAGGTAAAATCCTTTACCCGTACTGCCACAATTACTGTAATTTCAATTCTATTGAAGTTAATTTGTAGAATGAGATGAATACTTTCCTACTGTCTGTCTTTTAAGTCTTTCACTTTGTATTAGGTACCTTTTACATATATCTTTATGAATTTATTTTCTTAAAGGGAAAAAATATTTAATTGTGGAGATGCTTTTTTATGAAAAATGGAAATTGCATGACTTGAGTGACCAATATAATTAAGATTTCTCATACTCCTTTCACTCTTTCACAAACACTATATTTAAAATGAACTAATCTGTGCTGCGCATGGTGGTATGTTCCTGTAATCACAGCTACTAGAAAGGCTGAGGGGGAGGAGTTTGAGACCAGCCTGGACAACACAGCAAGAACCCGTCTCAAAACAGAAAAACTGATTTGGAAAAATCCTTTAACCACAAATTTGGTGTACTACTACACCATGATGAACAGAAGCTATCTTCTTGAAAATAGCTATTATTTAAGCAATTTACATGTATTACTTATTTAACTTAAATCACAAAATCTGCCTGTTTTGAGATGGAGGTCTTGCAATGTTGAGCAGGCTGGAGTCAAATTTCTGGACTCAAGCAGTCTTCCTGCTGCAGCCTCTGAAGTAGCTGGGACTACAGGTGCAGTGGCACAAAATCTTCTTGCACTACAGGTGCAAGCCACAAAATCTTCTGAATTATGTACTTAATTATGAGTTTAAAATCTGCTTTGAAGAGATCAAATAATTTGTGTATAGTTTGGCAGGTGGAGTAGCTGTGATTGGAACACAAGCCTTTCTGCCCCAGTAGCTTTAACTACTTAGCAATAATGCTTGGCTGCTGAAAAAGCTAAGTGATACAGTTATCCAGCATAGGGATGGGGATAAAGAATAGTTACATTTACATATTGCACCAAGGCAAACTAATTTTAAGATTCTAAAATCTTCCCGTCATACAATAATACATACATTTCTCACTGAGAAGCAGTTACAGGCCACATTTTGATGCTTAAATATTGCCCAGGGTGGGAGGAGAAACCTTTGGTATAGCCTTTTTTTCACTCTGTTCTCAAGGATGTATCATACAAATAGAAATATACATCCAAAAATAAGATAGATTTACTTAAGTTTTGCCAAACCAGTCACTTGTTAACATAGGCAATTTGGCACTATTTTCTTTGATAAAATTTCATAGTATTTCTCAAACTTGGCATAGAAGTTAAGCATTTGACAAAGCATGACAATGGGTGGAGCACCCTACTGTTAATTCTATCCTCTCTCAAAAGCTTAACTCCTGTCCTGCCTCCCCAGCTATCTTTTAATAAAAGACTAGGTATAGTTACAGTAGCTGTTAAAGTCCTTGTGTGACAATATCAGTATCTGAATTATCTTAGGG